CTGAATCACAGTAGTCTGATAGAGAAATTGTACCTACTGCGTTCCTTGTTTGGCTGGCTGAGGTTACAAAAAGTAAATAAGGATTTATGGAATATCCTGATGTGTGTGTCATGTCTTCCAACTAGAACTATGTCTGACTCCTATATTCTCAGTTACCAAGATTGTGAGGTATCAGGCACATGCTGGCGGAAAACGAATTGGTCAGAAGTGTACGCTCTATCACACAGCATCAGGTTCATAACCCAGCCTCACTAGTTAGCAGCCGAGCTACCAAGTACTTAAATGCCCTGAGCGTCAGTTTCTTCCTCAGTAAAATGTGTTAAGATCTCAACATCCTTAGTGGCTGCAAGGCAGTTCATAGAGAGATCCCCCTAGATTGTTAACGAGTACTCGCTCATTAATTGATAAACTTATCTCAGAAAAGGTCTGGACTTACTGCCAACCATTACTTTTACAGACTTGCCTGTTTTACAGCTATATAGACAGGTGTTTGAGAATATAAGAAATTAAAATAGAAATAGCAAAGCTTTTTAGTCCATTTTGCTAATTAATATGTCAGAGCTCATAAAAAGAACTCATCGGCTTTCTTCAACTGCATCACCCTAAAGAGCTGGATCAGCAAAGATCTCTGCAGACAGTCAATACATATTAAAACAGTCCAAGCGGTAAATCAAAACAACAAAAAATGAAGGCACAGTAAAAAAACATAAAATTTATAAGTCCTTTCTGTTTGAATGCTGAGGAGCATTAAACTATTGGTTTAGGTGTCAGTTCAGTATGCAGGAAAAAAAAAAAAGAAAGGATTCCTTCTCAGATACAGTCTTAGAGTCTAAGCATTGCAAAATTAAAGCATAATTTAAAAAAAAAAGCTATGCCAAATTTGATGTAATTTTCTCTGGATTCTAATGTTTCCTAAGAATTTTAAGTCTTTTTTTAAAAACAGTTTGTTGTTTAAAATATACATTTTGCTAAAGTTTTTTTTCCCCCTGCATTGCTGGATTGGAATTTTGTCAGAATTCAATTAATGAGACAGTTAGGGAAAGAGGTGAAAGACACTTCTTTGGTTTTTCTTTTCTTTTTTTTTTCCCCAGCTAACAGTATTTTTTAATGCTTGACTATTCTGAGGAAACAATAATTTCAATTTTTAACTTTCAAAAAGCAGGCTATTAAGTAATATAAGTAGAACTAAAGAAAATTTTCTTTCTTTTTTTTTTTTTCTTTAACTTAATCTTTTTTTTTTTTTTTAATTTTTTGTTTATTGCAGTAACATTGGTTTATAACATTCAAAGCTCTCTGATGCTTGTGATTTTTCTTAAAGCAACCAAACAAAAGGCATTTTGCTCCTAACTTCTTGGTGCGTAGGTCTCACCATTCCATAGACATTAACATCTCTCGTCCTGGGAGGAGGACCCTAAAAGATTACAAACAGGAAAATCATCCTGCCATCTTCTTGCCAAGGGATGCGACGCAATGCCCTGCCAGCGAAGCATTGCCCTGAGGTAGGTTGTTAGAGGAGTCTCGAGAATACTGGATTGATTCCAGATGGCGTGAGGGAATACTACATTTTGGGCCAAAAATGTTGGAAAGATCTATCTCACCTGGGCCTTTGATTTGATCTGAGCTCTGAGGAATCAACCATTTAAAGATTAAGCCAAGGAAAGGGTGCCAAAAATATTGTCACAAATTTGGGAGGTGCCCAAGCCAGACCAACAGATGGAACTTGGCATGAAATGGCTCTGACACACTAAGTAGCTGACTCAGAAGAAATTTTAAAGCAGATGAATGTATTAAAATGTTGAATATTATCCTGAATAAGAGGATGGATGATAGATTTAGATCAGCACATACAATTTAACTTCCTGATGGTCTTGGATAGTGTGAAAGCTGCCCACATTTCTATAATTAAAAAGGGACAGAGGGAGATACTCTTTCTTCTTAGCAAAAGAGATATCACTTTTTAACCTAAATATTCTGGACAAAAGATTTGAGGAAAGGAAAGGTGAAACAAAAAGAAGTTGAGGATCCCTTTCAACACTGGTGAGACAAGTGTGATCACAGAACATTACAAATTAAAATCCAAACTGGTAACTTGCTTGGTGGTCAGAAACTGTAGCAGACTGAGATTATAGTTATATAAAAGGTGAATTTTTTTAAATGATTTTGTAACTGAAAGAGGTTGCCAGAATCAAAAGGACCTTAATCCTCTGTCATCATCACTACCACCACCACCACCACCATCATCACCACCATCACCACCACTACCACCAACACTACCAC